GTGGGTGCCCATGTCCCCATGCCAGGCCAACAATGGGTGCCCTGGGCTTTTAAAAAAAAACTATCTGGTGGCCCAAAACTGGACTCTTCTGCATGGACATTTCTGTACCTATCTCTGCGCATGTTTATGGGCCTTGTGAATACCTGTCACTTCGTTTGCAAAGTTTGTTGTGAAATGAATGGTGACCCCCATCCCATTTCGTCTATGGACTATCCCCAGAACCCATGAATGTGACCTTATTGGGAAACTTGAGAGGATTTATGTGGTCCAGGTGAACCTAAATGTCAATTGTCCCCAGAGGCACCAGAGAAGATGGCACAGAAGGGAGGAGTTACAAGAACTTGAAGGAGGTGGGGTGAGGTGGGCCACACCAAGGAGCATCTGGAACCCAAGGAGCTGCACAGAGTGCCCTGAGGACCTGCCACACCCAAACTGGGACTTCCGCTCTCCTGGCTTCCAGAATTGAGTTTCAAGTCATCCCCCATGCCATGCCGCCAAGGGTGGTTTGTTTGGTAGCCCCAGGCCAGGTATGGTCTGGTCTCCCACTCCTGCCCTACCTGGCATACACACATGGGGCCAGAGCTGGGACATCAGCTGGCCAAGGCGGTTGTCTCAGTTACTTTTTTCTCATTGTGGGGATGAAATACCCGACACCCCAAATTAAGGAAGGAAAGGTTTATTTAGCTCACACTTAGGAGGTTTCAGTCCATCCTCAGCTGGCTCCAAGGCCGTGGCAGCAGTTCAAGGTGGCAGAAGACAGCAGAACAGCCAAGGGAGGAGCAGTGGCTGTGGCAGCTAGCAAGCCTCTCTCTAGTCCTTATATTGTATGCAGAGTACCTGCCCCAGGGCGGGTGTAGCCCTCACACCCATATTCCCAACATGGATCAGGAATTAATCACAAACCCTAGAAACACACCTCCAATGACTGCAGGAGGCTTTGGGGGGACAACTACACACAAATTGTAATACTGGTAAAGTCAGGAAGTCAGGAAAAGCCTCCCAGGGTGGGAGTGTGTTCTGGGAGTCAAATGCAAGTCCTTGTGTGTTATTAGACAAGTGCTGCACCCCTGAGCCACACCCCAGGCTCCAGGTCCCTTTCAGCTGCATTTTCAAGGCTGAGCCGTCCATATCAGCTTTCTCCCCTCCTTCCCGGTCCTGTCAAGGAGGATGGGCACTCCTCGAGCTTCAGGTGTCTAGAATGTGGATGGAATCCCTGGCAGTAGCAGGCAGTCTTGCAAGCTGAGTGGAAGTGGCAGTGCAGGAGCAGGTGTCTGATAGCCCTGGGCCTGGCTTGGGGCCTGTAAGGGCAAGAGAGCAGGCCTGGGATGTGTTTCAAGGGGCCTGTGGAGAGGTGGCTAGTGGCAGACTTCAGGGACATCAGCAGCAGGCCAGAGGTTCTCAGGGCCTGGGCAGGACAGATTCCTTCAGAGGCGTCTGGAAGCTGACTCTCCTTCTGCCTCCACCTTGTGGGCTGCTCTATCTGCCCCTCCTGCCTGCTGACACCTGATAGCCCAGAGTCCTGTTCTACCTCAAGGGCTCCTTACCTGGCCACATCTGCAGTCTTTTGCCACATGAAGTCAACTTTGCATTCCTGGGGACCAGGACATGGGCACCTTCCCCCTCTCCTTCCCCAGAACAAGGCTGGTAATGGCCCCAGGCTGCTCCCAGCTCATCTTAAACTGCAGGCCTGGACCTCTCCCGAGCTATCCTGTGCACTTCTAGTGACCACTCTGGTCTGCCAAATGAGGAAAGGGCCTGCTGTTCCCAGCCCTGCCCTGCCCTGAGGTGACACCAAAATCTGGAGGTACACATCACAGCTCAGCTCTTCCACCTCACCGGAAGTGGAACAGCAGCTCAGTGGGGTAGGGCTTTTCAAGGCCAATTTGTCACAGCCACAAGTGGCCATCTGTTGTCTGCTTCCCATGACCCCTACCCCATGTTCTGGGGACTGTCCTGTCAAGAAGTTGGTGAGGACTGCAGATCCCCACTCAAGAAACCAAAATTCTCAGTACAGCTGCTCCACCCTGGGAAGCTTATTTTTATTTTTAGTCTGAGGCAGGGTATCATGCAATTCTGACTGGCCCTAAACTCACGTTCTAGCCCAGGCTGACCTTAAACTTGCAACGATCCTCCTGCCTTAGCCTCCACATACTGGGATTACAAGTGCCACAAGTGACTGCAAAGCTTTTGAAAAATGAGCCTCACTGAGGTCTGACATACAATCACAATCAGTTGTAGCAGCTTTTGTTTTAGGGTATAAGCAAATTTATTTTTAAAAACATAAAGGCAGGTAAAAAGATATAAAGTAAAGCTCCTGCTAGCTGGGAGGGGGTTCAGAGTAAGGCACCCTGCTGCACCTTTGTGGCCACTCCCACTCTCCACGTGTCTTCCTGTGGAAGCTCCTGAGTGTAGCAGGGTGGCTGACGCGGATGAAAGCAAGTCTCACACAGAAGACTCAGGCCTGACAGGAAGCACCAAACAGGCCAGGTGTGGGGTACACACTGAGATGCAACGCCAGAAGGCAAAGGCAGCTCTTCAGTCCCTTCAGGAGCAAGTCCCCTGGAAGACCATCTGCCCAGCATGGCCCGTGGGTGTTGTGTGCTGAGTGGACCTGGGCAATGAACCCCAACTCAACCCAGGGAGGGGTCCTGGGCAGCAGCAGGAGGTTGGGGTAGAGGAGCGGCCAGCCCCCCCACCAGGCAGGGCTGCTCAGTCCCACCTTCCTGGTGGCCTCCTACCTGGTAGTTTGGGGCAACCGCTCAGCACCTCCAGATCATCTCCAGCCCCAGCAGGATCGGTTGTAGTGATGTTTGTCAGAGGCCAGTAAAAGGACGGTTCTGGTGGACCACCTTCCCCAGCTTGTCATGGCAGCACAAGGGCCAGGTCCCACTTGCAAATGGCTTCCCATTTGGCCCGCGGACAGCAGCACTGCCCACGGTTCATCACTCACTCTTTCTCAGGAGATAGATAGGTAGGTCCTGAGCAGCAGATGTCACAGGTCAGATCCAGCCCACCTGCGGGTCCTGACACCCCTCCCCGCAAGGCCCCTCTGCTTCTCTGCTCCTTCAATCTGCAGTTGTGCTCACATGCTGTTTCTGTGGGCACCAGGAACAAAGGTGATGCTGCAGTGTCTTCTCAGGCAGATCCCCGTCCTACCAACTGCAGCCTGCGGAACACAGAACACTAGGGGCAAGGAAGGCCAGAGGAAAAGCGGCTTCTGGCAAAGCCCTCGGTGTAGCTGTGACTAGGCTATTAGGATCCCCAGCACTGCAACTGTCCCTATTAATTTCCTGAAGATTACTCAAGCACGTAACTTTGTGCAATTACTTGTGATCTAACTTACGAACCACATATTCCCACATGGGTTCATGTTAAACACCCCTGTGGAAACAGACCCTGTAGAGCTTTCTGTTGGCTGCCTTCCTAGCCAGTGACCACCCACCCCAGCACAACCCAACCATCTTGGCTGGTCAGTGAGGGGCAGTCCTGAGCCCTTAGCCGGGGGCCTGGCTCCCAGCTCGTGGGCAGCACAGGAAAGGCGGAGCTGACCTTCATGAGATGCAGACAAGGAGCTGTGTGCAGCATCATGCCCTGCTGCCCTTCGGGCATGCTGCAGGCACATCTCATCTAAGCCAGTATCCAGTTCCCCAAATCCTTCTGGTGGCACCAAGACCCTCTGCCTTCTTGTTGCTCCCAGGGATTACTACAAGAAAAATGGCAGGCTGGCCCTATGGAGAGGCACAAGCTGGCTACACAGGTGCTTTCCCCTGGAGGCTCAGCCGGGCAAAGCCTGTGTAGCAGGTATTTCTGGGAGGAGCTCTTCCTTCTCATTAAGAAGGGATGATAGGAAAGACCTCAGAAAGACAACCTGTATGGGCTTCCTGAGGGAACTTTCCTCACGGGCTCTTCTGGGGCCGCAGGGCGCACCCCAGGAGTCTGGGGTCGTATCTCAGCTCTTCATACGGGAGCCAAGGACCTATTTTACATCAGATGGGCCTGCTAAAGCAGGAAACAGATCTATGGGAAAACTACCCATAGCCTCCCCGCAAAAAGCTTTTAAGGCCTCAGTGACAATATGTGAAGCCAAATAACTGCAGTCTTGGATCCTCCTGCAATAGGGCTCACAGCCCAGCATGGTGTGTTGCTTGCTTGTAAGCTGCCAGAGGGGGCAGCGGCCGCACACAGACCCCACATAGTACCAGCTGCATGTTTCACAACTTTAATAGAATATTCTAACTATTCTGTACAAATTGAAAACACTGTATTCAGTTACAAATGTATTATCAGGTAAGGCTGAGCACTCTCTACATGCCTGGTCAATGTGGACACCACTGTCCCCAGGTGCCAGAGGTCACTGCCACATACTCAAAAACCCCACTCACCAGCCGCCACCAGTCACACCAAAACCAGGGCTCTTACGACAGGATGAGTGGTGGAGTCCAGAAATGGGGGTCACCAAGAAAGCAAGATGGAACATTCACACGGGGCTGAAAATCTGTAGCTTGCAGCCCTTCCACTCCCCAAAGTGCTTCCGACAGCTGCAGGTGGTTCGCATGTCACACAATGAGCTCCTGCCCTCAGCAGCTGGCTGCAGGAAGCAGCACAGGCCACGCTCCTGCTAGGCGACAGCACACCCTCCTCCTGGTCAAGTCACCAATGTGGCTTCATCAATGGTAAAAAAATGAGCAACTCAGTTCAAAGTCCTCCAAGCACAATGAATAAATAAATACATGGGTCTCACTACAGCTCCTGCCTCAGAAGGTGTGTGCCACAACCCACCCAAACGCTAGCAAACTAAAGCAAGGAAAAACGCTCTAAGTAAACACGGCCTTACTCTACTCAGCTCTTCTGAGATGATTAGGATACATGGCTGAAGCAGCTTTTGAGCAGTAGGATCAGCAGTGGAAAGTGGGTTTTCTTTGAATCACAGGGAGGGCCACTCAGCCAATCTGCCCAAGTGGCAGAAGAGGTTCCAGGAGCCCGACAAACGGAGTTCCCAGGCCTCTCTCCTTTCTAAGAGTGACCCCCCCCCAACCCCGCCAACCCATGTGGTATGTGGACTTTCTAAAGGGCAGGGCCTGGCGGGTCCAGGGCTGCAGGCACCAAGGCCACAGAGGGTGCTAAAACTAAACCTCCTATTTCTGAAATGCATTTCCATTGCCACTGTACAAGTTAAGCAAAATAAGAAAAAGAAAAAGTAAAAGTGAAAATCATGCACTTGAAAACGTGTTAGACGTTATAAGCACTGTCCATATGTTGTGCTGCAGCATGGCCCTAGGCCCTGCCACAGCTGGGTCCTGACAGCCATTCCAAAGTGGCCACTCCTCATTGTTGCTTGCATTCCGCCGGCTGGCTGGGCTCTTTCTGCAATGAAAAGACAAAAAAGACTTGTAAAGAATGAAGTTAGTGTCATCCACCAAGTATCTCTAACCCACAGTGAAAACCAAGACTATTTATTTATTTATTGCACTGGGGATCAAACTCAGAACCTTGTGCTTGCTAGGCAGGCACTTAAGCTGCTGAGCTATTTCCTGGCCCCAGTTCACTGATTCATAACGAAAAAATAGCTACCACAAACAGGCTTCAAAAAAAAACCCAGCTAATTCTCCAAAGAAAAGCCACAGTGGGACTGCCTTTGGTTTTCGACATGTTTGTGAAACACCCTTAACTCGGTTAGAAGGGTGTTTCTGGGGCGACTAGGCAGGCTTTCCACATATGGTGCTGTGAGGCAGCTGCACCCCTAAAGCAGCAGCGGTGGCTAGATACCTGCCAGGACTCTCCGTTCGGGGGCAGGTGCAGACCACAGGCCTCACCTCTGCAGTATAGTTCTGTTCCAGGAAGGGCTGTGCACTGATGCTCAGAGGGATGGTATTCCTGATGGGGTTTCCTCTTTCACTCTGCAGGAAGCACCCGAGCAGATTCACTCTACTGGACTACAGTGCAGAACAGACTGGGGTGCCGGGTATTTCACTTAGTGGTACAGTGCCTGCCTGGGGAGCATGAGGTCCTGAGTTTGATTCCCGAGACACCTCTCCTAAAAAAAGACTGGGGGTCTGGCCACTTAAGAGCTGCAGTAATCACACACACACCAGCAGGAAAAAAAACAAATCCTTCTAATATAGGCATCAGGAAACACCCCCTAGCAGAGCAACTTAATAAAACTTGATGTAAAAAGCTTGTGCCTTTTCAACCACATTCAGGCCCCAGAGGTTTTGTGCAGAGTCCAACAACAGCCTAAGCAATCGATGATGATCTCACCTCCACTTCTGTATACTGACTTATTGGCCAAGATTCCTGGGAGTTGACACTAAATGACTAACTGTCACTAGGCAAGCCCACAGTGCTGCTAAGAAAATCCTGTACTCCATGGTCCAAATGAACTTCTGGGGCAATACTACCAACACCTTTTGTGAAGATAGCACTGAAAGGATAAAAAAACCAAACAAACATAAAGCAGGCATAAATCCCTCAAGGAAAGATCTCAGGAGCTGGTCTAAGCTCTGTTTCTAAGTGGAATGGAAAGAACACAAGAACAAGCGCAAGCTCTCCAGCTCAATCTCCAGGCTTCCGTCTTTGCCTAGTGCAGTGAGTTGCCTCTTCAGGAGGGGACCCCAACTTCCCTGCCTGTGCTCAGCTGCCCCATCGGTTGCCTAGGGAGCCCAGGTCTAGGATGAAATGGGAATGACAAAAACGTGAGCCCAAATGATGCTGAACCACGAGGATGAGCAGTGTGCATCAGTGCGAGAACGGCATGCTATCAAATGGGGACTGGGCTAGAAGACAGAAACCAGAACCGAGATGTGGCTCGGGGTGAGGTATCTGCTTAGCACGCATGAAGCACTGGTTTCTATCACTAGTGCGGGGATGATAGAGGTGGGTATTGAAGGGTTTTGTTAAGTGCACAAGTGAGAGGATGGCAGAGTCTCCACATCTCTAAGTATATGTAAATTATACATGTCACTTACACTGAGTACTGGGTAATTACCCTATGTTGAATAATAGTCATGTAGTTTCAACCACAACAGCACAGCACCCGTTTACCTTAAAACCAAGCCTGAGGGGTACAGCACAGTAGCTGAGGGTACGTGAACTATGTGAAAGGACCTGGGTCCAGGCATCCTCACCAAAAGAACCCACAAAGAGAACACAAACCTACTAACGTGTATGATGGAGACCGCCAGCTGGGAAAGTCCTCAGTAAAACAAACAATGCCCGAAAGGCTGTGAGGGTGAGAATATGGGCCTGTGAGTGCTTGGCACTCTGGGCTAGGGGGAGCCACCTCCCTCTGAGCAGGCAGGCGGCCTATGACCCACCCTTGCCAGGCTACTGCCAGCACAATACACTAGAGCTCCTGCATATGAGAGACAAGAGCTGTGGCAGTGAATTTTATGCATCCAATGTTTACGGTCTTGGGCCTGTGACAAAAGCCAGGAGAGAAAAAACCACTTCTCTCAAGCCAGTACACACACAACTAAACCCAAGTACCCTTTGTCATGTCACGGATTTTGATGACAGCCTGGTTACTTGATGCTAACATGACTCCCAAGGGAGAGGGTTGTCTTTTTCTGAGTTAACAATTAAGCCAAAAACCTGCCCACTGTGGGACCATTAAAGGTGGGGTTTTAACAGACCCAGAGGGCCTGAGAAGGTGCAAGACAGGCCGCTAACACAGAAGCACATCAGCTGCATTACTGAAGGAGGCCATGTGCAGAGCCTAAACACTGACTGGCTGGTGGATGCGGCCCATGTTGGTGGTGCCACGGTGGCTTCAGTAAAGAGACCCTGCCACTGTGAGTGCCGGTCACTGGTAGGCAGCGTGTACCCAGGATGTTTCAAAACTGCTGGGGTGGATCCCAGCTCCAGGGGACCTATGGGACCAGGTGTGGGCTTCCCCATAATAAAAGCCACTTCCGGCTCTGGTATGCTACCCACCCAGCAGGACTAAGCACAGGGTGGAGGCGGTGCCCCAGCTCACTGTGCTTACTTATGACTGGTTCTTTCCTCATTTGATCACAGTGCCACTGGCCTCACAAGAGCACTGGTACTGCCCACACTGAAACAGATGGCAGTCCCTTTTTGGTTTAAAAATGGTCATATTAGGCTTGGCTACTCCTTTGCCTACCTATTGGTTTACACAATTCCTGACTCATTAAGTGTAAACACTGAACAGATGGGTGGCACAGGTTTTGATGACAGCCTGGTCACTTGATGCTAACTTGACTCCCAAGGGAGAGGGTTGTCTTTTTCTGAGGAAGCAATTTTCTGAGGTGGCCTTTTTCTTAGGCCACATCAGTGGGGTGGCCTCTCATGCCAGTTTCTGATCCTACTGTGCAGCCAGCACAGCTGGGGACAGCAAGAGTATGAAGGTTTCTACCGGGGCTGCTCGTCCATGGTGGTTTCTGTAGCCATCCTGCAAGCTGCCATCAAGGCCACCTGTCCTGTCCTCTTCCTGGACATCAGCACTACTATCAGTGTTATGAGTAACAGGTTTACTACTTGGTTAGCAAGAAACCATGGGTTCAGAAAGCAGGAGCCAAATCCAAATTGCTTTCGTTGGCTTTAGAGGCACAGCTAACACAGCCCTGCACAAACACCACTCCTTGCAAAGCCCTGTGGCAGCCCTACTGCATGGCAAGTGTGCCTGGAAGGTCACTTCCTCTGTCCCCAAAGTCACAGCAATGCATCATACAAAGTACAGACTAACAATTGCAAGTTTAGGTATGAATGGATTCCGCCTTACCTAGGAACGTATGAATGATTAACAGACAAAAATTACACCTAAATGGGGAAAAATTGAAAGGAACTGTCAGCATGAAGAAAAATGAAACGCACAAAATTATACAGGAGGAAACAGCCATAAATCTCATGATTCAAAAGGGTAGTAAAGTACTAAATGTGAGCAACTCCAACAAAGCAGTTCTTTCTCAAAACGGCCAGAACTTATTGTCTGCACTTGTAACAGTATGAACACTCATGTCTCTTTTGCTTGCACAAGCTCTACTTTCGCAAAAACTTTGAAGAAGTGGACATGAAGAAAAGGACAGAGATATCACGTCACAAGCCAAGGACACTAGGACAACCCTTTGGGGTTGGCACACACGGCTCTAGCTTCTTCTCCCCATGCCTGACCAGGCTTTCTGAGGTGCTGGCGGTGTGACTCACTACTTTATGCCAACCCTCTGCTCCTTTAGAAAATGAGGACCCATGAGGAAGCCGAGGCGCAGGGTGACAGAAGAGTGAACACACACAGGGAAAAGAGAAAGCATGAAGGTGAGAGGAAAAGAAACCAAGGAACAGAGCCTGCAGAGGTCGAGGGTGAGCATGGACACAGCAAGCTGTCACCAGTCTCTGTTCTCTAAGTGCAACCAGACTACATGAAAACAGGGGTAGCACCCACACAGCAGGCACGGCCCAGAACACACACCTTGCCTTTGGTTCCACCACATACCCAGAGCAGCTAAAGTTGTCACCAGTGACCCTAAAATGTTAACAGCTGACCAGTGGCCACCACCTTCCCTGCCCCAGCCCCCAACTATACCCCACCAAAGAGTGACTAGGTCTCATCCACGGGGCTGAGCACAGGTGGGACTGTATGCAGTACAGAGTCCTCAAGATGTATAACCAAAAGGAGGGCACACTTCTAGAGAGTCGAAGTCCTCCTGTCCTTCCCAAGGGAACTGCTGCTGTGTACATGCATTTAGGTGAACACGTGGGTGACACACTGACTCTAGTCCTAAGATGTGGCCCTGGCAGCTTCTAGTATACATTCCATGTGGGGCAAGTGAGGCACAAACAAAAAACAGTTGGATAGAGACAAAGATGACAGAAATGTAAGGTAGTGGCATACCCTGACAGCCCATCAATGTTGTCCTAAAACACAGGAGAGGAGAGCCACACATTCTGTGTGCTGGGGACCAGCAAGTGGCCCAAGGCCACAGCTCCTTGACTAAGGCCACAAATTAAAATCCAAATTATAGGTTAAGTTGCCCAGTCATTTTTCTCTTAAACACCAATTTTCTGCAGCAAACCTCCTTTAAACATTACCTAGACAGATGAGGTGTGACCAAAAAAGTTTTTTTAAAAATAATAAAAGACATATTGTCATTAATCTCCTTCAAAATACTCCCCTTTATCTCAAATTCATTTATCCTATCATTCTCGCCCTTTTGTGAAGTAGTTCTGGAAGTCTTTGCCCCGTGTCTAGTTGCTACACTGTGGCTACCTTGATGAACTGAACAGATTCAGTGTGTTCTACTTACATTGTTGTTCCAACATTGGGGAAGAGCCACAACTTGGCTGGGCCTAGCTTTCGTGAGTAATGTGGATGGGGCCAAAGTATAATGGTTTATAGGCTTGCCTTTCTGATGAATGGTGCTCAGCACAAGCAGGCACCATAGCTTTCATCACACCCAGGAGACGCACAAAAAAGGAGTTCTAGAGTTGCTTCAGAAAGTGGTAAGCATAGCCAGGCAGCGTGACATGTGCCTGTAATCCCAGCACTCAGGAGGCTTGCCACAAGTTCAAGGCCAGCCTAGATTAATAGTAAGTGCAAGACCAGCCTACGCTATACAGCAGACCCTATCTCAAAACAAGCACCATCCCCCAAGTGGCAAAAACAATGGATGTGTTCAAAGAGAGGAGTATTTTGAGGGCGATTAATGGCAATGTGTCTTTTACTGAATAAATTCATAAAACATACGCCAGATTTCTTGATTGTCCCTTGTGTATCTAAGCTACCTAGGGCATTCTGAGCCTTTAAACTCAAGTGGTGCAACTACAAAATTATGCCTACAGCCCTATTATTCTCATCATTAACAAAATACCTCCCAAAGTCCCTTCTTGCACCTTTTTCAAACAGGCAACTTCATTTTCTTAGAATTAAAGATCTGGAAACTAAAGGTGCTTTATTGAGCGAGGTGATTCAGACAACAAGCAGCTTGGTGCAGTTGAAAAACACTTTCCTGAACATTTACACAAAACATCCCCACCATATATACATTGTTAAATAGTTACTCATCTAAATATTTTTTGTCATATTTTGTTTTGTAATTAGAAAAAAAAATACATACTTTAAACACCATTGCCTCAAAGTGAGGATCATTTGTAAAAGTTCAACAGTGTAGCACATGTAGGTTTGAAATGCTCCCAAATTAACCAACCTTGGGGTTAATTTCAGCATCGTCCTCGTCTTCTGCCTCCTCATCACCTTCCAATTCCTGTATTAGAAGAACCGAGAATTAGCTGCAAAGACTCACGTAAGGCTGGACTACTTCTTCGGGAGTTTGCTACCCACAATTATAGGCCAAGAATTCTTTGCTTTAGAAGGAAGCCAACTGCTGCTACACACCAGTAACTACTTCATTTGCTTTAGATACACAATTACTTCTACGTATCTTTTTGTTCTTAAGATATCCTTAAAATGAATCTCTGACAAGCAGGCAGGTTAAGCCATCATTCTCCAAGGTGCAGCTTCATAACCAAATGTGAGGCCAGAAGCCATGGCGCCACTGCAGCTGTGCCATGCGCTTCCTCTCACTTGAGCAGCGCTGAGAGCCAATGGTGGCTTCACATGGAGAGAAGAATGTGGTTGATTTCATGACCTCAGAGAAAGCCAGGGACACAAGATGGAGGGAAAGACATTCCAGGAAACCTGTTTCTTACCTCCTCTTCTCCTTCTTCACCTTCTTCAAACTGGAGAGGGGAAAAATCAGGGAAACATTTTTAGGTTTTATAGACCCATAATAGTAGCCTGCCCTAGATGCCAGCACCATCAAGTGCTCTTACAGGGCTGGCTAAAGACAGCAGAAGTCCAGCTTCTGCCTGCTGGGCAGAGACAGCACGGGTATCTCCTAGATACCTGAAGGCCCCGATGCTACAGTGCCTGACTAAGGGGCCAAGTGCTCATGGGCTCTGCCTTTCACAGGATACAAATGGAAAGTAACTGAAATAAGAACGGAGAAAAGCAGCAAAGAAGCCAGAGCATGGTGGACCCAGTCATGAAGCAGGCCCTACAACTCCACTCCCATTGGTGCCTTCAGAGGGAAACGGGGCATTAAAATTTCCATACAAGGTGATGAGTGTTTTTCTTGATTTCCTAGGAGACTGACCTAAGTAAATAAGTAGCATAATTTTATTACACATGGGAATTTTAGTAACATTTGTACCCACACAAGGGAGAAAAAGACCTTTATTAAGTAACATAATTAAAACTTTGGTGTTTAATCTTTAAAACAAGTCATAGGCTGGGCATGGTGGCACACACCTGTAATCCCAGCACTCAGAGGCTGAGGCAGGAAGATTGCAGTGAGTCTGAGACCAGCCTGAGCTACAAAGTGAGTTCAAGGCCACCCTGAACTTCATAGTGAAACCCTGTCTCAAAACAGATACAAACAAACAAACAAACAAACAAACAAACAAAAAACCCACAGTCATAACTGAAGTACTACTCTTCCTGGGGAGAACTACCCGCTTGGGCCCCCTCCTGTCCCTCTCTCAGGATAGGAGCTTTCTTTCTCTCCATAAATATATTCTGCTCATTAAAAAAAAAAAAAAAAAAACTGAAGTGCTCAAAGGATACCCCCTGACATTATAGCTTGTTGAACTGGGGATTGAACTCAGGCCCTTGTGCCTGCCAGGCAAGTACTTATTCTACTGAGCTATCTTCCCGGCCCAGCTTGTTGGTCTTGAATCAAATTTATCTCTAACATTTCACCAGATTCAGATTCGCATCCCAAAAGGAGGTTACACCCAAAGTAAAGGCTAACACTACAGCATTCTCACCATTACTGGCTACCCAACCAGGGCATACAGAAATGCAGCAGGTTTTTCGGTTACAAACATTCCTTTTCATCAAATTACTCAGTCCTTAAGACACAACTTAAATTAAGCCAGTGTTAAATCATTGTCTCTTATAGAGCTCTGTGATTTTCGTTCAGTTTTTATTGAAGATAAAATATTTAAAAGACCTTGACTACATTTTTATATTCTGGATAAGAGGAAAATAAATTATTCAAAGAAAAAAAAAAAAAAGACACAACTTAAGCAGAACCCGGAAGAACACTGCCACCCTCCTGTGGTCCAGAACCTGTAAGTGGCACCCAGATCCTGTGCGTAGGGCAGCGCCTTCTCTACACATCCTCACAGCCCTCTGAGGGACAGAATTCAGTCTTACACTTTGCAGGTCAGATCCAAGGTAGCTTCCAGCACCAACTGCCTCAGGTTCAACTCTTGCATTTCACGCGTCTGCTGAAGATGCTCTGGGAGGAGCCTCTCACAACTGTGCCTCACACCTGGGCAGAGCACACAGGAATCCAGCACCAGGGTGCTCACAATCTTTCTCCTCCAACAACTTTCTAGTTTCAGTTTAAGACTCAGCTAATATTACTGAAATGCTTTGTATACCAACACTTACTAATACACTGTACCAGGAGCAACTCCAAGTGCCTGACAAGTAGAGCCACTGCCATTAGGACCATTTTATAGACAAAGACACTGGAGCATAGGAAGACCACAGAAAAGACAGAATGAGGACCTAAGTGTTGTATGAGTTGGCACCATCACCTCTAGACCACAAGGTTCACTGACAATGCATACATCGATTGCACAGGTGACCAAGTACATCACATAAGGACAACACCCTAATACTGCCTGTACTCTAAACCAGTGACTGCACCCCACCACCGCAGGCCTTTTAAATTGAGAGGTGTCTGGCCAAGAGCATCTCCAGACGCCTGGCCTATGGGTGAGATTTCCAATGCACTGGGGAGGACCTCTGGCCCTTGGTAGACTATGTGCACAAAATTAACCTAAACATGAGCTCCTCAGTCATCAAGAGGCATGGATGGTCAGTCCACTACAATGGATGAGAGTAGGAAAGACACTTCCATGTCCAAAGAAAATGCTACTGTGAAGACCTAGTCTAGAATTACAGTAACAGTGTGTCCTAAAATCTAGGTCTCTGCAACAGTCCTGTTGCTTCAGGGACTGCACACTGCTGCGTCCTGAAGTCCTGAAACCACCACCACCACCCAGCCGGGGGACACACAAGCAAGTTCTGGAAGTCAAAGATGATGTGAGACTTCTCAGCTGACAGCAGGCTGTCTGCACACCGCTGCTAGGGGAGCGCCAGCACACCAGTGGGGTGTGAGGAGAAGCGTGCCGCTGCTGCAAGGACCCAGCTCCCAGACCCACCCGAGCTCCAGTGACTGACCTAAAGCCCCAGGAGACTCATCAGAAAGTGAACCTAGGAGGCAAAAACCAAGAGCACTACGCTACCAACAACTATCCCCACAGATTGGTAATTCAAGACAACACAATCCTTGGCCATGATGGCACCTGTCTCAGTCTCAGCTGCAATAGGCAAGTGTTTGCTAAGCAATGCTCAGGGCTTCTCTTGGGGAACAGGGGACTATTTCCTAGGGTTGCTGCAACCCAGACCATCATGTGTTCACTGCCAACAACTGTTTGGTATGACCAAAGATTTCTTAATCTCATGAGTACTCCAATCCTTAAAAGCTTTCTAAGGACACAGCACACCCTCAGGGTCCTCTGGGGACTTAGTGGATTGCCACATGACTGGAAGGTGAATGCCTCACAGATACCTGCCCCTAAGGTTCTCTTCTTCCTAGTCTATTTCCTCAGCAGGGATCACATAACTGGTTGATAACACAACACAGATCTTAGGCTTTGGGGTTTCCCAGGCCCCTGCTTGGGGCTTCTTTTTACCCACGGAGGAAAGCATGAAGGGGTAGCTCGCCTGTGTCCCTGAGTCACATACATTGTCATCATCCTCTATGGCCTCCCCAGTGAAGTAGAGCACAGCCCGAGGCACTATCCGCTCGCGGAAAAAGTGTCCAATTTCAAAATCTGAGGCTAACGTGAATTCAGAATCTTCATCCTGAGGGAAAAACAAACAAGTTAACTCATTTCATTCATTCAGTGAGATAAACTCATTTACTCAACCCCTTCACCCAAATCTAATCCCTCACTTCTGGCTTACTAGACTTTCAACAATATCTATCAGGGGCCTGCCTGGAAAGTACAAGGTCCCGAGTTTGATCCCTGGTATTGAAAAAACAAAAAATCCTTCATTACTAAGTGGCAGTCACCACATACTCAGCCATCTAAGTAAGAGAATCTTAACTAGCCTCAAGGTAACTCAAAAGTAAAATGGCAAAGCAGGTAGGCAGTGCAGCCTGCAGCTCCTCCACCTGCTTGCTCCTGAAGCCAACCTACACAACACACCACCTCATGGTGTGCTGATTTCATGTGAACCCCAGGAAGCAGAAAGGGATAAAAATAGGTGCCTACTCAGGAAATAGAGACTTCAACGAGACAAGAAGACAATACAGATCTTACCAGTGATTCGCCATCCCCAGAGGCTAGAAAAAAGAAAAGACAAAACATCTACATTACACTGACAACCAGAAAAATTAAAAAGCCCACAAAGCAGCTTAGCCAGCACAAAATGGGACATTTCACACCCCGAGGGTTTGGTTAGATGTCACCTAAGATCTGTACCTCTTCATTGATGACTTTGTAAGTTCCTCTATCATGATTACTAAAATTGATGCTCCATGTCTCCACCTTGACCATGCAGGGACTGCTTATCCAGCTGTGGCTTTGCTTTTGCAAAGGAGTCTTGCTATGCTGCCCAAGCTATTGGCTCCAAACTCATCATCCATCCACTTATTTCCCAAACAGGTGAGATTCTAGGTACACCCCACTGTGCCTGGCTTAGATGTGCTTGTTTGGACCTAAAATGCACTACCACCCCCACTCATGTTTTGAAGGCAACTGGATTACTGGGGATATGGTAACTGGCCGGTGTGGGCGGTAGGGCCTGAGCAGGAGCTTGGGTCACTGCCAGGGCCCATCTCACTCTCTGATGCTCTCCTTCCTTCATTTTCTGCTTCCCTGCCACCGTGAAATGAGCAGCGTTCCTTGGCCAGATGCTTCTGCCATGCCTTCCTGCCTTAGAACTGGCCAGCTAGGTCTACAATGTGAGCCAAAATTGCTCTCTCCTCTTTTAAGCTGCATGCATTGGGCACTTTGTCCCAGCAATGAAGAAAGTGATGAGATACCATGTTTCTTACAGACCCAACTATGGAAAACCACGATTTAGAAATCTATGATGGCTAAAGAAAGGCCTCTTAGCATCCCTGTACCAGGCACATTAATACTACAGGGGAAGACATTTCCCACCTGTGAACTGTTGTGGTATGGGTACTGACACAAAAAACTTCAAGCCTGTGTGCCCAGAGTATTGCTGGGGTGCTGCCAGATGTACACTCAGGTCTGTCTTGGAGGGACGCGCTCACTCTTGCTGAGGTGTTTGCTGACACCCCTACACAAGACACACTTCTCCAAGGCGTTGCACAGAGGTAGTCAACACACACAAGACCATGCAGACTGTGGTGCTGACACTGAACCAGGCATGACAGGAGCAACAGGGACTTCTAATCACACTCCACCACGCTGAGCTGACAGCTGTCACATGTTACACAATTCAGACCCTTGGCTGAAGAGTTGTGTACTGAGCCTTAGCTTAAGCACCAGGCCTGCTCAGTATGGTGACACGGTGGTTAAGTGTGGGTACTACCCACAAGATGCAGATCTCATGTGGGCAAAGCACACGTTCAGAACCTGGGCCGCCTTCTCCCTGGAGCTCAAGGAGTATCAGCAGGTGATTTCCAAACTGGTTTGTTGATTTCAAGACAGACAGGCAGCTGGGCCAGCTACCTAAGGTTTCCTTCATTTTAAAACAAATCATCAATTTTGTCTCAGGGGCCTGGAAGATGGCTCAGTGGAATAGGTGCTTCCCTGGCAAGCGCAAGGGCCTGAGTTCAATTCCCAGTTACAAAAAAAAAAAAAAACAAATCATCAATTTTGTCTCAGGGGCCTGGAAGATGGCTCAGTGGAATAGGTGCTTCCCTGGCAAGTGCAAGGGTCTGAGTTCAATTCCCAGTTACAAAAAAAAAAAAAAAAAAAAATTTGTCTCGTCTGCCCACTGCCTCCTGCCCCACCTCCTCCCTTCTAATTCCTAGTACTGGACACTTGAACCTATATATTAATCTGCTTGTTGTAAAAAGAATTTTACTGAGGCACAATTTACATACTATAAATCCACTGCAGATGTACAGATTAGTAATGTGGCAAATTAATTTTACATTCAGGCAATCATCACCATAAAACAATTTTATTCTTTTATTTTCTTTTTTAGAAAGCTACCTTCATTCTATTGGAAAAATTAACTGGTACAGAAAAAAAGTTTAGTCATCTGGAGAGAAGAGAAAAACTGAGTACCATCCCTGAGAACTGATGGCTTCTTGGGGACATAAAACAACATTAAAAATTTAGAACACCAAAAATTATCAAGGACCAGCGAGACAGATCAGCAGACTACAGCGCCTGCTTAGGCAAGCGCAGGGATCATGTCCCCAAGTACCACATGCCACTGAGCCAGTCACATATACGCAAAAAAATTTACCCCCAAACTTTTAAGTTTCCTTACCAACTCCAATCTTACTCAAAAGTTATTTTAAAAACAGTTTTAAGTAAACCTGAGCTGGGACTTGGTGGTACACATCTATAATTTCAGCACCCTAGGAAGGCTAAGGCAGGATAGAAGTTTGAGGCCAGCCCAAGGGCTGGGGTGTATCTCAGTGTGAATGCCCACCAAAAAACAAGCAAAAAAAACTTGGAGACACTGACTTTAGGACTAAAAGCCTCTCTACTTCACAAGAACTTAACACAGATAAACTCCAATATACTCAATGTGAGGCTTTGAAAGGAATTTTCCCAAACAGGAAATGTGAGCATGAAACTTCTGATTGTTCTTACACCGCAAACTTCTTATGTGAAAGTCCAACTGTAGAAAAGAAAATAGCCACCACAGTAATAAACACTGGCCTGACCTGTGAAGGACAGCGTGATGGATGCGGACACTGAGCTCAGAGACAAAGCAAAATTCAGGCATTTGGTCGCAGGAACAGGACTGCTAGAAGCCTCACACCCAACTGACTGCAGGTAGTGGGAGTACGCACATCTTTATTTCAAATTATGTTGTGATGAAAAGTAAAAGAAATGTCCTCTGTACCCATTATCCATGTTTTAACATTCCCAAGTGATCTGGCTACATATACATCCTCTCATGATTATAGAATTATCTTTTTTAAATTTTTTTTTATTTTTTATTTTAGGGAAGGGTCTACAGGGTGTTTAGGGTCTCACTACTAGATCAGACTCTTAGTGATCCGCCTGTTTACAGCCTCCCAAGAGCTGGGATTACAGGCGCGCGCCACCACGCCTAGTCTCAATTGCTGTCTCCGTGCGCATGGCAGGCCCGGAGATCAAACCCCTGACCCCTGTGTCTGTTTGCAGGCGCTTTAATCCACTGAGCTATTTGGCCAGCCCCCAGAATTATCTTGTGACTTTTAAAAACACTTTTCAAATTGACTGCAAGTGAGCTGAGCATGGGGGCATTCTCCTGTAATCCCAGGAGGTAGACAACTGAGGCAGGAGGATTGCTGCAAACTTGAGACCAGCTTGGGCTACAGTGAGACCCTGTGTTAACGCTTCCCACCAAAACCCTGTGCTCTGTAGAATTGTATCTACTAAAGATAGACCAAAAAGAGAGAGAGAGAGACAGAGAGGGAGAGACAGAGACAGACAGGAAAAGGAGGGAGGGAGAGAAAGAAGGAAGGAGAGAGAGAGAGAGAGAGAGAGAGAGAGAGAGAGAGAGAGAGAGAGAAACACTAACAAGAAATGGGGGTTTGATAGAAGTGACTCAAGAGGCTATGTCTCAGTGACCAGCCACAGCCTGGAAGAAACCGTGAAGAGTACCCCCTGGCTGGGTCGCACAGTCTATACAACACAGCTGCAAGGGGTGGAGGTAGGATCAGCTGAGGAAACAGCATAGAGCACTGCCTTCCGTTTTTTTAAGTGAAGCTGCATGTGTTTACCTGGGCAGCAGCCACGGGAAAGGAAGTAAAGATTTCCTTCCCTTTCATGACAAGGATGATGACCTAATTCCTCCATTGCCAGTTCTGCCTACAGAACTTGCCCATGTACTAACATAATACCCTGATGCAGCCATCACTGCCCCCCTGAAAAGCCAAGATAGGACAAAACTAGGAATGCAACAAGGCAACACAACTTTTTCACACTTGTGCATTAATAAATGGCCAAATTGACTTACCTTTCAGCGGGTTGAAAAAGTTGAAAAATGACTCATTGGGCACTTGTTTAGTAATTGTTCTAACAGTGCCCCGACCCTTATGTTTCTGTTTTTTCTTGATGGTTTTTACTGTAACATTTTTTCCTTTCTTCCAGTCAATAGTACATCTACAGGGATAAGACAGCAGTTATGACACACACTCCAATAGAAAAATCAATTACAATGAATACAGAAAGTGGCCTACATTTCAATGTTTAACCTGGAAAATATAAGAAAATCAATTTGCAAATCCACCCCGTGGGCACACTAAGATGGCAACTGAGACTGGGCGTGGTGGCACATACCTGTAATCCCAGCTCTTGGGAGGCTGTAAACAGACAGATCACTATGAGTCCGATCTAGTAGTGAGACCCTTCCCTAAAATGCAAACCAACTATTACAAGGCCTCTAAAGTGCAACTGAAGGGTGACAAGTAGGAAATGGTCGGATCCTCTATTGTTCTAGGTGCACTGACTGCCTCAAGCTTTGAACTTCTGAAATAACTACGCCATTATTTTCTCAGAAGTTCCACAGACTCTGAAGTATGTTTTCTGTGACAAGGCCCCACCTACTCTGCACAGTGCACAGGAACTTGTCACATGCTGTGTTTGAGAACAGAGCACCATGGAGCTACTCACTCATATACCTGAATCCTCAACTGAGTGGGACAACAGAGGACCATACAATGCTGATAACCAACAGCATTCAGGATGCCTGTTTCTGTCACCCTGGATACCTGTGACCCCTGGAAAAAGCTGACTGATGTCTGCTAAAGAACATTTGAAGTCTTGTGTCACATGATGGCTTGGTCCTAGAAATGATCTTGTTATACTTCTCCAACTATTCAAATGTAGCAAGATTTGAATGAAAGTCCCTTATACTTATATGTAGAGATTTGCAACAACACATAATTGATTCTAATGGACTGAAGTTTTGTTTTGTAGTGCTGGGGAAGGAACTTTAAGGCCTAGAAAATGCCATCCAAGTGCTCTATTATTGAACTATAACTCTATCCTGAATAAGAGTGCTTTAATTGAAGGATAAAACAATTTCTCAAAATCACACCCAATAAGAATTAATTCTAAGCTAAATTTTCTCCTTGGGTAGTCTACAGAGACTGAAATCAAAGTGAGCCAAGCAGTATGTATGCTGCCAATTTCCAAAGCAATCTCCTAACCAATACTGATGTACATTCATTTCTACAAATATATTACTTGCACTTGAGAATTTTAATCTACATTGTTGAGAGGCCCCAGTATCTCCCTTACCTAGGAACACAGCACCAGCCCAAATGTACACATCTGAACAAGCTTCATCCTCCAGCTCTGGTCACCACATCTGCACTAGGTATGACCAACTTGAAAGCCAACTGCACTGAAATCTTTGCTGGGCTATATTTCTACTTAACTTTTTTACTTTAAAATTCCAAAATCATCATCTGCTTTTATTGCAAAAATAGAATCCAGAAAGATATTTTCTTACCCATCACAGTCCACAATCTCAGGACCTTCAAAGGAAAAGGGGTCAGCCTTGTCTGGCTCTGACTTCATCTTGTATGTTTTTGTCAGGACTGGATTGGTAAAGTAGTCATTGGGTTCAAAGTGGAACTCTAACACAAAAGACTGAAAGCAGAAAATGAGAGAGTAAGGACCACTTAAAATCTAAAAGTAACCAGTGATAAATATCATAGGGCACATGGGCCTTTCTGGAAATCTGAATGCACAGTTCAGCCTGTTCTCTTTCCCTCTTGGTCCCAGTCCCCACTGCTGGCAGAAGTAGAGGTGTACTCTGTGCCACAAAGTGGAAACCATGATTCCACATAGGAGGTGGAAGGAAAGGACAGAGCTCCCCAAGGGCAAAGTGGATCCTTCACCACAAAGTAAAGATCTCCGCAGAGGTGAGCAAGACATGGGTACACTGGGAAAGCAGACAAAGAACATACAGAAAGCGGCAGCAGATGAGAGACCAAATGGCCAACAAAAGAAAGCACATACATCACACAAACAAAAAATGAAAGATATGGCCTACTTCAGGGGCAAAAAATGTGTAAAAATACTACGTACGGCTGGCCAGTACTGTGGGATACTGGAAATGCTCATATACTGGAAAGAGATTAAGAAAAGACAATGTGGCAATATAAAAATTAATAAAATAAGAAAGTATATTCCCTGGCCCAATAATTCAAGGGAAGAACTTGAGAAAACTGGATGGATGTGTCAATACAGGCAAAGATTCTCACCACAGTACTGTTTATGAAGAGAAATGGGAAAACAATCTCAGTTATCTATGGGGAATTCACAAGACTACAGGCAAGCCAGATCCTGTTTGTGCCTATAGATGCTATGTGAATCTAGGGGCTGTATCACCACCTCTGCGCTCTGGGATCCTCATTTTATCATTGCCAAGTAACAACATCCTGTCTCTCCACCAACTGTCTTCAGAGTTCATCTACACCAGTATGTAGAACACAACCTGATCCAGCCCAAGGCTAGCCAGACCACTGTAATGATAAAACTATTGGGGGGGAACCTCTCAAAATAAATCTATACGTATGTACACATTTTAAAACCACCTCCCCAAAAGGAAGTAAAAAAAGAACTCTCAAGGAAAGGGTGGAAAGAAGGCAGCAGCCAGGAGGACTCGGGTCAAGTGAACAAACTATGCCATATGTGCCATAGCAGGGCTATTATGACTGAAAGCTCTAAAAGGGTCACCACCATGGGGCCCAGCCAGCAGCTCCTGGGCCTCTCTCTGGAGCAGAGGGCAAGGACTTACAAACTCAAAAGCTTAGCTAAGAAACCCCTCTTGAGCCTGCACTGGCTATAAGCAAACCAGGTAGAGACCAAGAGCAGCGGGGTGAGAGCTTGGGCAGCTGCCTGCAAAAGTGCTTAGGGCAGGGCTGTATGGACAGCAGCCTGGGAAGGTGGGACCACAAATGCATTATTATGCCTGATCTTTCACCATTCCTTACTTTCAAATAGGCAGAATTATTTATTTTCTCCTTTCTAGTTCCTTCTACTACATTTCTTTAAACCACATTTCTTCACACTTTCTTTTTTCCCCTCCCCTGTGCCTTCATTCAGTCAAATAACTCAAAGGCAGCTGGGGAAAACTGAAGGACCTGCTTAACCACCTGACCAAGAAGCGACCTAAGGGTAAGGCTGCCTTACTCACACCCCTATGCAGCCTAGTATTCTGCCAGTATGCTATGTAGGCCCAATCTCAATAACAGAAGAATGGAACTGCAGCCTTATTTTTTTCCCAGCAGAGCAACTATGGTTGTTATTCTGCCAATCATTATGCTAACACAGGACGTAGGTCTCTGGCTGCATGAACCCCTAGGTGGTCACAGCCTGCTGACATACAGGTCTGGGTGGAGGGTGTCAGATGGGCAATCTCTACAGTCACTTCAGCTTTGCTCCAGCTTTTGCAATTATTTCAGATGACAAAATAAAAAAAACTTGCTAAAAAGTAAACTTTCACTAGCTGAAATGTAAATGGAACCATTATATGTCCTCCTACCCATTCACCACCTCTGATCCAGTCATAAAAACTATTTAAGCTGGGAAAATATTAGCAATCTAGACACGGAGTAGGTGGAAGAGTACTCTCTAATGCAATGATCAGAATGGGACACAGTGGAATATCTGAGGAATGTTAAGGAAACCATGTACAGCTGACAGCTGATGGTCACAAGTACTTCCCCAGCCAGGCCTATGTGACATGAATCTAAACATGCTAGGTGTACAGGCAGGCAGCCTCTGGAGGGAGCAGACAGAGGATGGATTTGTTTTTACTCCTTTCTTAGATGTAAAGCTTAAAAATGGGGCTGGGGAGATAGCTCAGTAGAATAAGCACTTGTCTGGCAAGCACAGGGTCCTGAGTTCAATCCCCAGTATTGGAAAAAAAAAAACAAAAAAAAAACAAAACAACTAGGTCATGGAGTAGTTTATTAAGCTATGAGAAGTTATTTTTAGAAGATGGCAACTTGTGTACTGTTGTCTATATTTGCCTGTTTTCTACATACTGTGTAATAAGCACATGTGGGTTTTATAATGGGACAAATAGGAGGAAAGAGACAAGGGGACAGACAACAGACCACCACACTAGGATCTAGTGAGCTGAAAGACATGATGGGTTGACAAAGGAAGAAAACAGACCTAGGAAATCATCAAGTGCACGTCCAGTGAAAAAGAGGAAGGACAAAAAGAATGACTTCAAGGGAAGAAAAAACCCGGCAACTGAGTCTGGATAAGGTGCTGAGGGGGGCCACATGACCAGAAGGGCAGCTCTTCCCATGTGCAGGCTTCGCTCTAGGCTCTGCACTCTGAGATGCACAGGGAAGAAAACAAGTCCCCAGGTCCCTAACTCCCAAGATTGCTAAAACACAGCTATTTACATAGCAGATGCCTCCAAGACCTGAAACTGAAAGCTATCAGTCAGTAGTGTGTCACCAGAGTTCTCAAGCACAAGAATGGAACCCATCAGACATGCAGGCTGTCAGCTTATGACAGCTTATGAGCCACGCGCCCTGGAGGAGCAGGGAGGCTGAGGCCTGCCACCAGAATGGACAGAGGGAGGGGCGGGATGAGGCCAAGCTCATCTTCCTCACTGCCAGGCAGGCCAACACCAGTAACTCTACTTGTACAATGACCATTCTGGAGCGATGTGACAGAACATTATTTTAGACTAAACCCCTACACCTTTCTTTCCTCAGTCTTTCCAGACATCTGTGTAAGTGCTGCTTCCACTTGCAGATATACCTCCTATCCTTTTCTGTTTCATGGCCTTGGGGGAGGACACTGTGTGTTGTTACTTATCCAGCTGTTTAGCTCAGATTCCCAACCACAGAACTGAAAGAGGCACAGAGAGGTACAAGACATGAAGCCTGAATCCCAGCGAGCAGTCTCACTCAAAACTTCCCGGCAGCAACACGTTTGGATTTCTTTCCCTTGCTCCAGTCCCTTAGCTAACCAGGAGGTCAGCTGGTACTCACCATAGGCTGTCCAGGGTCTGAAAATTTCACTTTAATATCTTGCAGATGTTTCAAGATTGGTTCATCATATTCCTAATAAAAAAATAAATTCTAATGGGTTTTAAGAAAACAATCCACATCTCATATCAGGTGTATATTCCCAGATGTTAGAAAATCTGCCCTACTGAAATTCTGTTCTCATCAAATAAAAATTTCCAAAAAGCAATCCAAATTCATTCATTCATTCATTCACAAACTATGTGTCTTTGGATGGTTAGCTGAGCCAAGAATCATTTTCAGGGGGATGTTTTTCTTGAGACAGGGCCTCATTCAGACTGGCCCTGAAATCACTATGTAGCCCAGGTTGGACTTGAACTTGTAGCAATCCTCCTTCCTGAGCCTCCCAAGTGGGGGGACTGAGGCATGTGTCACCATGCCCGGCCACCATTTCTTTTTGGCCTGGGAAAACGATGACCATCAATGCGAGCAATAAGGTAGCACCTCTGAAAGCTGCCCATCTCCAGCCAATAGGAGCAGCCTCACTACTCTCCTGAAGTCATGGCATATAAAGAACAAAGTACCATTATTCAGACGGCTTGCACTCAGCATACTGGAAGACACAGAGCCCAGAAATCAGATGCTGTTGGCCTTCGTGGCATTCCCACTTGTGGCAATAAATATCTCAGATCCCTAGCACAGTCACTCCCCCAGGAAGACTCATAACGCACATCACTGGCAAGAGCTAACAACTCCTGTATATAACTGTCTGCTTAAAAGACTTTATCTATCATTTCATGAGTCCACAAGAGATAAAGCAAAAAATGAATTCTAAGACTTGTAGCCACACAATAGTGACAGGTACTTCATTTATAACATGAAAACACTTTACTACTGAAGTCTAGCACTGAGCCCAAGATTTTGTAAGGTTCCATTAAGTCTTTAAAGCCTAATAATTATAGACTTTCAAATTTTAAGTTCTTCTGACATTACAGAAAGAAATATAACCAGCAAAAGCAAAGAGACACCTAGCAATCTCTAAACAGAAACAAGACAACAAACCCCAAAGCTAGTTTTGAAAGGCAGCCATTCTAGCAAGAGCAGTCACATCCTCCATATCAAGACCAGGTGGCACTGGTCTTGATATAACCATGCACACTGCTAAGATATGCAAATGACAGATAAGCCACGCACGCTGCCCCACCTGCTAGAAATGCCAAGCTCTCAACTGCCAATGTGAGTTTTTGTTATTTTGTTTTTTAGTACTGGTAAACACAGGGATTTTGCACTGGGCTACATCACCACTATTTTGAGACGAAGTCTTGGTAAGTCACTTGGGCTTAGTTCCGACTCGCAATCCTTTACCTCTGCCTTCCAGAACACTGAGATTACAGTGTGCGACACCAAATCAGACTTCAGCATGAATGTCTGCACTGGTACGTCTTCCTCCAGTATACGGTCCAAGGACACTTAAATCTTTTCTAGTCAAAGCAGTATCCTGTTACTGTCCTCAAATGTATGAAACTACTGCTCCTTTCTTAGTTTCCCTGGCCAACCAAGTACTTTGTGGGCTGGCAGTTTTACATGGTTTAAGGCATTATTTGATGATGCCCACAAATCAGACATCATATGCATCTCAGAAACACAGACTATGAAATTTTCACATTTCCAATTTTCACATTTCTACTTGTAAGAATCACTTTTGACTATCCCCAAGTAAGGAACTCAAGATCCACAAGTCAATTTGGGATTTACTACTTGCTATTACCTATCAGGCTAAAAACAGTGCAGATGACAATTTCATCTCTCATATTAATGAGAACTCTGTACATCCCAACAAAAACAATTCATTGCTTAAATAAAGCACTGACAGTAATAAATGTGGAGAAAATGCAAAGACACTCTTTAGGGGAGTATGATGACCTACACCACAGCTCTCAAAAGGCAGTAATATTCATAAGGAGCCTCTTCACACCTAAGCTGCCAGACAGCTGGCTGGGCAGCCACGTAGGGCCACTGGGAGCCAGCCATCCAACCCAGTCATCTGACTCCCAATGAAGATCTCATTTCTATAACCTCTCTTCACTCCAAAGCATGTCCCTGCCCAGCAGTGGGGGCTATAAGACCCAGAACATGTAAGAAAGTGCATCCACAGTGCCACTCAAGACCCACACTGATTTTTCACAAGCAGCCCACCCCATAAAATCTCAAAAGACCTACGTGAGGAAGTTCTGCTCACCTGTCATGGGGTACACCGGGCTCAGACAAAAAGGGTCTAAGAACCTCAAGCACTGCGGGGACAATTCAATGGTAGAATGCTTGCCTATCATTCTCAAGGCCTTGGGTTCCATCCTCAGCCACACAAAATAATCAAAACCAAAACCAAAAACTGATTTTGGTGCCAGTGGAGGCAACAACGATGTATAATTTTAAACTACTCAGGTGACTCTTCACAGTCAAATGAGGATATAACTCTTTAAGATTGAATTTTGTAGGGGCCGGGGAGATGGCTCAGTAGGATAAGCATTTGACCGGCAAAACATAAGGATCTGAGTTCAATCCCCAGTTCTGCCAAAAAAAAAAAGATTGAATTTTGCCAACAAATATCTAGCACATAGCAATCTTCTCTAATCCTGTTTTTATACACACACACACACACACACACACACACAGGACCCTAAAATATAAGGCTGTTCTACTTAGGTGCCTCCCTGGATTGGGAGATGTGCCACTCTTTCCATCCCTGAAGTTTCAGTTTAGGATGAAGGATAAGCAAGACAGGAAGCACAGACAGCAATGTGGTTAACTTCTGAACCATTAAAAATGTATTTGTTAAACTCTGTGCAAATCACTATATAGCTATCTGCAAGGGATAGCAGCTGGGCTGTGGTAAAAGCACTGTGCAAACAAAGGCTCAGCACAGGAGCTGTCAAGGCAAGCCTGAGAGCAGACAGGCCATCTCGTAACTGCAGCAGTGAAAGCCCAGCGAGCAAGTTAATGGATGAGACTTGGCAGGACCTGCCCTTGTCTCCTAGAAACACTCGCTCTAGCTCTTTTCAGAAAAGTCAAACATCACCTTTCAATTGGTTATTTCATTATAGAAAAGTAGACAAGAAAGGTTGATTTTTCTTTAGAACCTTTTAAGGAATGGTTAGAAAATACTAGCCACTTGTTACATTTTCATGCCTTGCAAGGCTGACAAGAGTCCATTTCAAAGCCGCACTGAGTGGTGCACATGTGCATGCACAGCACAGGGCTCCTCTCCTCCCAAGGGACTCCTGCCCCGGCCCTGTCCTCAGGCTCCCTGATGCTCACAGCACAGGAAGACACACAGGGACGAACCTGAGAAGATTGCTACAGGTGAAGCGGGAGGCTTCCACAGGGGGTAGCAGCAATCTCTCAGGCTCTGGCTCACGCCAGCCCAGTCCCAACAACTGCAGGAGAGTAGGAGCCCCTCCACCCAAAACCCCTCCCCTGGAGACGAAGACAGTTGCCCAAGTGTATACTCACAGAAAGCACCTTTCTCAGTGTCCAAAGGTCTCTCAGAATCAGGGTAAGCAGGTGGAGGAAACCACTTTACAGGACTTCCCAGAAGTTTCCCAGGCAGCAGTGGTCCACTCACCTGCACTAGCTCACTGAGCATATCCACATTTCTAAAAATGGTGAACCAGAACTCGGGGATTCCTTTGGGATTTAGCTCTTCAGCTGCTGCGTCTTCTTTTTCTGCTATAACTACTTTATTTTTCATGTCTCCCTACAAAATAAACATGTAAAATAAGTTATGACAAAGAAAGAAAGTTTACAAATCACTCAAAGGCTTAACGGAGAATCTAATTTCAGGGTCCTGCATGAAGACCATTCTTCTTAGAGATGAGGCAGCGCCTCCAAGCCACAAGGTAAAATCTTACATCAAGTAGAAAAAGTAGAAAAAGCTAAATACATGGCAAAATGTTATCTTGGAAAAAGCTATCCAGTGCTAAAATGGTGAGCTGCCAGTCCCTAGATGGAAAAATTCAAATGGAAAAATTCACTTCAAGGACAAATGTATTTAACCTCTATGCTCAGAGCTCTGGGTTTTACTTGCAACATCACAAAATTAAATAAAAATAGATAAGTAAGTAAAATTGAACTAGGCAGTATGGAACAGGCTTGTAATGCTAGCACTGAGGAGGCTGAGGCAGGAGGATCACTGTGAGTTTGAGGTTAGCCTGGGCTACCAGGTGAGTTTAAGGCTAGCCTAATTACAAAGTAGGAACTTGTTTGAAAATCAAAACGAAGTAGCAAAAAAAGCCAGGCATGGTGGTACATGCTTGTAATTCCAGCACTCAGCAGGTTGAGGCAGGATTGTTGCAAGTCTGAAACCAGCCAGGGCGACAGCGTGAGCTCCAGCCTGAGCTGTTCAACTTGTATGCAGGAGAACGCCGCACTCATAGCATTCATAGATACACGAGTGCTGGGGCAGAGGCTACCCCACACTACGCAGCCTTATAATATCACAGCCCCAAGATAAAGGTAAACAGAGGGAGCTTAGACAAAGCCTTAACACAATCAAGTGATTTCCAAATGCTTTGCTTAGCCACACAGGGCTGGCTAGGATAAAAGGGTCACACAAAGTTTTTTCAAGCAGCAAAGGCAGATTTTCTTGTTTTTCTTTTTTACTGAGTTTTAAGGAGTACTACACAGCTAAACTCATTAATAGTGATGAGGTCTGCCTATTTTTAAAAGGTCCAAATCACATATACCTACCAAAATTAACACATTTCAAAACAAAACCGCCTGGAAGTTAATGCTAAAGGATAAAAACTAAAATTGAGGTGACACTGGCAGACAGTATAGCTCAGTGGTAGACTTGCCTAGTATTCATGAGGCCTCAGTTCAAACACCACCACCCACACACAGTTATAGGCCAATAAAGTTAATCTTGGTATTTCCCTGCAGTTCCCCTGCTAAGACCATTGCTGGCACTATAATTTCTCTTGGTTCCTCTCACCTGTATTTCAACAGTGCAGCACAAGGATGATTGAGAAGGGGCTGTGTCCAATTCATCATAGAAACTGGCAGCACCTTATCCAATGCCAGACAGTGTCATGGAGGATCTGTGTACCGTGACCCAACCAAAGAATAGCACTGGAGTAGTACTCGCAGTTCTACTATTGTTTGGGAAGCTTTATCTGTGACTAAATACCATAAAAAATGTTCTCTGTTTCTGACAACACCCTTTTTCCTTTGTAGTACTGGCAGTTAAACCTGTCACCTTCACACTGAGAGAGGGTCTAGGCTTCCTCAGCAAAAAGGCTTGAACCTGGATGACAGGTGTACCCCACCCCCACCCCTGCTTATACTCTTGGCTTGTGTGGTGATTATGATGGCAGTTATTCATGTGCATTCACATGTGTGTTGTTATAATTTTTATTATGCATCTCAATTTTTAAATTTTTTAAATTTATTAAAGAAAGAAAAGAAACCCTCACAGCCGACTTGTCATGCTCCTCACTGTCACTATGCCTCTCTGATTCTGCATCTGTTGATCCCACGTCACCACTGACAAATTCTCTTCTCTGTTCAAACACATGAACCATCACAGTTTTATGTTATTTGGAAACTCAAGAGTTCAAATGGGTTTATAAATAACATCCCTGAAAAGATGAGTCCTGGGGTCACAGAGAGGTGGAATTACAACACCTTAAGAGAAACAACAGGGGCTGGCGAGATGGCTCAGTGGTCTAAAGCACCTACTTAGAACAAGCTTAGCAAAGCAAAGGGACCACGGTTCAATCCCCCAGCACCACATGCCAGCCAGGGCCGCCCCCTGGTGGGCTGAGCTGGCCACACACACACACACACACACACACACACACATAAATAAATAAATAAAATTAAAAAAAAAGAGAAACAACAATGCTCCGCACCTTGTCGAACAGAGGCTGATACAACGCTGCATACTTCCTCTCCAGGTCATGGACCTCTTCGTAGAACTTGGCTTCTATGTGTGCACACCTCACCTGCAGCTGCTTCAGGGCATTAATTCTCCTCTTGACTGCTTTGGGTAATCTAGGAGAGGAAACAGGAAATAAAACATCTTTATGTCTACAAAATAAAGAGCATGCTTTTAACTTATAAATTTAACACAGGTAAACCTAGGATCAATACCCTTACTATAAAGAAGAGCTCCTGAAAACCACTCAGAAAGACTAGGCTTACGGAGGGAAGTTGAAAAGATGATTCACGAAATTGGGCGAGTGTGATGGTGCATTCCTATAATTCCAGCACTCGGAAGGCTGAGGCAGGAAGAACGTAGCCAGCGGAGACCCAGTCTGGTCTACAAAATGAGCTCAAGGCCAGCCTGAACTGAATAGCAAGCCCCTGTCTCAAAAAGGAAAAAAAAAAAAAAGGATGATTCCCCAAAAAAGAACAAAAACTGTCAAACAAGAGCAAGGTATAATCTTAGCATACACAATTATGTAAATTTAAAGTCATCTTTCCTTTACCAAATTGGCACCCAGAAACTAACAAGTATATAAAACACATGTGAAGAAACTGAGAGCACTAGAGGCCTCAGTGAAAAAACCAACACCAAACCTCCAGCGTCCCCTCCCATTATAAAAGCCCTAGGGGACACCAGCAACCCCTGACCTGACTGCGGGCACCAGGTCAACACTGGCTCACATCTTTCACAAAAGGCAGACAGGTAGGGTCCAAGAAGAGCTATCCTAGGACCCCAGGATGGACACGCTAGCACTGTTCATTGTGCAGGTCAAGGAAGACATAGGTCTCTTGCAAAAACCAAAGGTGATGGTGTTGCAGGCTCGTGCAGGCAAATCAGGGACTTTTTGTTTTTACTTTAAAGAGATAAAAGCTTGCCATCAAATTAAGGCCTTTTCTGTCTATTCTTCTGGCTCTCCACAAAACTTCCCAAGTCTTGAGAAATATACTGCTGGTGCCCTAGGGCTATCCTGAGCTCCACCAAAGTCATCTGAAAAAGAATTACCCGCCCCTTACTCTATAGGGAAATCCACCAGGCAAGGACCAGTTGAGAGAACCTGTGCTGAGTGTGTAATTAGTATCCTTCCATGCAGATTTGATTATAGTCTGAAAGATAACTTCCATGACAGACAAAATGTCACTCAGCCTCCTCTTCCCCACCAAGCTCGATCTCTGGAGAGTGAGAGTCTAGTACAGGGCCTTCTTGCTATATGTCTTTTATAACTTCAACTATGAACTGGGAGTTGACACCAGTTCAGGCCCTTGTTCATTAACCTTCATTCATTGTTAGGACTTCTCTTGGTGGTACACTAGTATTATTATTATTAATTTCTTTTAATATTTTTATTGAGAAACATATAACAATGAGAGTTTCATAACCAATTACTAGTACATTTTCAGTAATTAATACATTGCATAATGTTCTTAGTGGTTATTCATTGTAGAAGATGCAGACCTGATATCATGTCTCAAATACTATTAGAACAAACCTCTCTGTTCATTGAATTAAGAGAATGGAGCTGTATATCTATCCTAACTATTCTGAGTGTACAGATACAAAATGGTCGTTCATTTGTATCCCCTTTTTTGGTTAGTTTTGTCAGAGAAGGACATTCCATTGTCATTTAAATACTGTAGGTACATGAATTCAGCAAAATATCCCAATATAGTTCAATAGTCCATAATAGTAGTGGGTTTTCTCTAAGACTGTCAATGTCCAAAGTTGCTGATTTGAGCATTTTACAGCTCATCATATTAATATGGTTTTACTTTTTATACTTCATTTTCATACTTTTCTGCTCAATGGTTAAGACCAAAAAAGAGCAAGACCTATATAACAAGAAATGTAACTTTTTTATCTGATAAGATCAGTCAAATCCCCTCAGGATTTAACCTGAAACCCTGTACCTCAGTTTGCAAATCCTTTGTCAGTGTCAGCCATGTGGATGAGTCACGGCTATTGCTTGACCAGTTTGCTCTCTGAAAGCTTGAGAGAATGTTTTCTCTCCATGTGACTCTCCTTAGGCACACTATACATCATCATCATGACTTTCCTCTGTAGCCCCAAAATCTCCTTGATCAAATAATTTGGGACACAACTGAGATACATGATGTTACAGTACAGGTTCTCCTATTTCCTGAGTCCTTACTGACCTTGAAAGGCTAGGACCAAAATGTTGGCTGTCCTTGCAGCCCTTCTTTTTAATTTTTGGTCTGCAAACTTAAATTGTTAACCCTCCAGAAGAGAAGCTTAATGACACTATTACCCTGTAACAGACAATTGAGCTTAAACTATCTGTGTACACTATTATTGAGACAGCTTTCTACCCTAGTTCAGCTTCTGTCCCAAGCTTCCAACCTCTAGGAATCAGGGGAAGGAACAGGCTTTTAAAATTTCTTTTCTCTTCACATTTCATCATTCAATAGCAGCTTTGTTACAGGGCATGGTGGTGCTTGCTTGTAATCTCAGCACTCAGGAGGATGAAGTAGAAGGACTGATCCAAGTTTGCTGCCAGCCTGAACTACACAATGAGATCTCAAAAACAAGGACAGCTTTGTTTCCTCAGTATGCAGGCCACTTAGGCTACAGCTTCAGCTGCAGTCAAGGAGGCTATAGGAGACCTGTGTGTACAGAGAGCAGCCCAACACACTGAGCAGCAAGGGTGGAGTGCAGTGGCATGGAGCCCTGCAAGGTCCCAACGCCCAGGGGTGCAGCATGCAGCACAAATGGGGCAGCATCATGTTGGTAACAGTAAAGGCACAAAGTAGAGGTGTGTACAAAGGACCAAAAAGTTCTTTCAGTCAAATTAGGAGGACAAGTGACATTTTCATCTTGATCTCGGGCTGGCAGGGTATTTTGAGGGGAAATACAGAACTGTGTTCTTTCATAGTAATAAAACATTTTGACCTCAGCCCACTTTACCACCACATTCAGCTCCAGTGATCTAGTAAGTTCTGTGAGCTGCCTCCAGATGGCACTGTGCATCAGCCAGGAGAGGTCTACCTGTTCACTACTCTGCCAAAGAACAAAGGAAGCCTCTCATGCATGTCTGGATGCCTGTGTTGACTCTCTGTGCAATGAAAAATATATCTTCCAGGTGGAGTCATGTGTAGCTGTAATCTCAACTACTCAGGATGCCGAGGCAGTAGGATTCCAAGTTGAAATCCAACTTAAGAAGCTGAGTAAGACCAAGTCTCAAAAAAGGAGGGAGGGAAGAAAAAGACGTGACTCTTATTAGACCACTTCCTTGAGGTGCTGGTCCCAAGCCCCAGCACACTAGGGGATGGGCCGGCTAGGGTACACTCCTATAATCCCAGCACTCTTGGAGGCTGAGGCAGGAGGATCACAAATTCAAGCCCAGCCTAAGGAATTGGGCAATTTAGGGAGACTCTTATCAAAATAAAAAGGGCTGGGAATATAACTGTGACAGGCCCTGGATTTAATACTCTACTGTAAGCAAGCAAGTAAACCCCAAACAAACAAAAAAAAGCAAACTTATTTCTTTTTTTATGAATCTAGAACAGGGTCTAGTGAGTGTATAAGGTATTACTACATAGATCAGACTTGCAGTGATTTTCCTGTTTTCTGCCCTCTCAAGAGCTGGGATTCCAGGCGTGCCACCACGCCCGGTCTTAACTGCCCTCTCAGGGTGCCCGGGGGATGGGGCCAGCACTGCACACTGGGGATGGAACCCAGGCTGCTGTGCTCTGCAGAAAACCACTAAGCTATCTGGCCAGCCCATACTTACTTCTTATTCCTAATAGTAAAAGTTTTTTCTCTTCATTTTATTGCTCAAAGTGGCACACATCTTATCAACAACATACTTACGTTTCAATGTAGCTGGAAGGAGTGTGAGAGACATTGTCAAGTCGTTCCTGTAAAGCTGCCAGGACCTGTGGGTTCTGCATCACCTGATCTGTGAGCTTTTCTATTAGGAGTTAAAAACAAGACCAGAAATATTTTACAATGTATCTACCACAGATAGCCAAGAGTCAAAAACTGCTAACATGCATCTGCTTAGCTACTAACTTGTAAATATAGCCAGCAACTTCTTTAAAACACGTTTTGAGAAAAAAAATAAAACATGTTTTGAAAATAGTAAACTTTATTTTTTAAAAGCATTTAACAGATTTTGTGCATCACCTGATCAAGCGGCTGGGAATACCCAGAAACTTTTGGTTCTTACCTGTAGCTAAGACCTCTTGACTGAAAACATCATTACCTGCCAAGCTCAGGTGGTCTGTCTCTGATTATCTGGGTGTATAAGGTATTACTACATACCTGCCCAGCCCCCACTGTGCCGTCTAGAAGCCAAGGACAGCTCCTCAAAGTAAAACCACATCTGTCCTCTTGTGCCCTTGCTCTCTTCTCAGCCCAGGAAGGCCACCTCACATCATCTACACTGTACTTAGAAGTTTCTTTTGTTGGTGCTGCTCACTCTACCTATGATGGCCTTCTCCTCTCAAAACTAGCTCCTTCAGGAAGCACTCCACTGACTAACCTGCTGCCTGCCAGCTTACACACCTCTGTAGTGGACTTACATTCGGGTATTTTGTATTTAGGTATGTTTCTCAAAACAGAGGAGAGGGCCGGCCAGAGAGCTCAGTGGATTAAAGCGCCTGCTTAGGCAGGTGCAGGGGACTGGGGTTCAATCCCCAGCCTGCCCTCTGCCTGTGCACTTGGGAGGCTGAAAAACAGGAAGGATCACTACAAGTCCAATCTGTGTCATGAGACCCTGTACTAAATACATTAAAAAATAAAAATTAAAAAAAAAACCCAGAGATGTGAAACAATGGAGTGAGCAATACCTACTTGGCTCATAGCAGATTCTTT